GAAATAACACTTATGCTAGGAGGAGAATGGAGATATAAAGAATATAATTTGTAAAAGATGAAAATAAGTGATATCATAATTACCGGAATTTGAAATCGAAATCAGTTTTAAAATAAAAAATGTACCAGTTATCGTTTTGAAAAGTGCAGACATGGTATTAATTCAATATCCAAATACTTCAAATGGGTCCAACAGATAATAAATATTTTGTTTAAAATTTAAACAAATTTGGCGTTTAAAGATTTTCATATCCTGTGGACCATCTATGCCAATGGAAAAATATTTTTCGGAATATTACATTTGGAGTTTTCTTTTAAATTTTCCCTTTAATTATGACATCACGATTAAGAAGGTATAGTATATAGATTTGGAAAAAGATATAGTTTTGGAATAAGAAACATAAATTCATTATGATTTAGAAAAATATTTAGGAAAAATAGAATTTGAAATTTAAAATCAAATATTGAAAGTAAAACAAACTACTCTTATTATACATATATTTAAAGCCAGATACAACAATACTAATAATTTGTTTTAAATTGTGAAATATTTATAAGATTTTTAAAAGTTTATAAAAATCAAAGTAATAATAAATATTATTTGAAGAAAAAAAAATTAAGGCTTTATTTGGTTTAACAAATTGGGAATTTAGTCTGGAGTATAACATCATAACAAGGCTTGTTTTGGGTTGGCCCAGTTACTTGGATTTTAGGAATTTTTGCATTACAATTTGTATTACAAAATTTGGAATACAATATTTTTTTTAATTGTAAATTTTTTTTTTTTTTTTTTTTTTTTTTTTTTTTTGAAAATATACTCATTTCTTGGGTTACCATATTCAGATATTGTTGGTGTAATTTTTGTTTTGGTATTTTTAGGGGGTTGATGGAGATTTTTTTAATTTGAGCAACTTCATAAATTCTTTCTAATATCAAACTATTTGCCAAAATCCTTGCAAATGATCCGGAGAAGGGTTTTTAGTTCAGGACATCGTTTGTACATTCTGTAAAAAGAAGAGGTTAAATATAAAAAATAACATATTTTCCAGAAATAAAATTGAAATAATAGTAGAAAAAAATTTTTGGAGCCGCATATTAAAAAAAAATCACAGAAATATATATTAAAAATTCAATATATTGAATATCGAAGTAAAGTTCAACTTAAGTTGATGTGGCCAAAAATTAGCGAAACAAGGGTTTTTTTCAGTAACATATTTGAATGTATTTTTACATTTCGAATGACCACAAGATCTATACTACGAAACGACAACTAATTTCAGTGACAGACAAATCGTAGTTTTAAAAAAAGATAAGAAATGGTAGCAATAAAAATACAATTTACAATGGTGCCCAACATGAAACCGGGATCGTATAATATTGCTTACTATCCAAAAACACTTAGAAGAAGGCATAATGATTACATTATTGAGAGAGATGGAGAGAGGGGGAGAGAGAGAATATGGTCAAGCTCTCTAGTTTTATACAAAAATACTTCTTGACAATTCTATCGAGCAACTAAGCACTACCCTTTTTTGATCTTCAACAATGTCTTGAATACTATTAATAATGGCGCCCAAAGTGGGTCCCAGATTGTGTACAATTCGCAAACATAAAAGAGGCCAGAAAGAACTTACATGTGTTCGATTTTTTGGGAGTTTGAGTCTCCCACATGTTTTGCGGATAGAGAATGGAGATGATCAAATTATACTGTTTCTAAATCTACGACATCCTGCCAGAAAGAGCCTAATCGTTCCCAGCAGAACAAAATACTCGAATACAATTTACAATGGAGCCAAATGTCTGGTGCCGTACTGTCTGGTGTCGTACTGTTTAATATACAAAAAAAATCTAAAAATAAACTGAAAAAGTTCCACTTACTTTTCCAAATCGCAGAAGCCTAGAAGAGCCAGATATTTCTGGCACACGAAAAGTGTTTTATAGGATACTTTTAATCTTCTCAAATTCCTTACACCTCCTTTCCATGTTCTCAAATCCCTTAAATATAATTTTCAATGGTGACCAACGTGTGCAATACCTAATTGATTACTCCTCTTTTCCATGTTTTTAAATTTCTCAAACACAATTTATAATGGCGCCCAACTTGCCACCTGAGAGTTCAATGTTTCGAAATTTAAAAGATTCTGCCCTGGCCGAATATTTGGATAGTCAATCTAAGAAAGTCCAGCCGTTAACGACAGAACGAAAACCTCTTATAAAAATTTTGCAATTTCTTAAATAAAATGAACAATGGCGCCCAACGTTGGCCCTCACGTTAAGGTATTCTTTAAATTTGTGAAAAGCAAAAAGAATGTAAGGAGTTTCATTTGGGAGTTTTTTATGTCCTACTGGGTTGCCAGTTGTCAGATGTAATGTTCTCAAATCAAAGGCGTTCTAAACCATATAGAATATTGCGATCGCCGACATAACAGAGTCCAATTGTACCCAGCATAACAAGTAATTACGCCTCTTTTCGTTCATTTGCGGTGATTTAAATACAATGGCGCCCAACGTCAGACTAGAACTTAAAATATTATTTTCTATTAGAAAATAAACAAAAAAGATCTGAAAGAGTTGGGGTTTGCTATTTCCTACTGGATTGAGAGATAGACAGACAAAATATTGCAATCGTACGTCTAACTAGTCATGAGGTTATAAGGTGGCAAGAATTTTCGATTGTCCCATCACTTAAGCTTAAGGCTTAACGGGACCAAGAAGGAAGAAGAATGAGCTTGGTTAGAAATTTTCCGAAGTTCATGCAGTCACTTTAGAGAAATGAGGAAGTAATCTTTTCTAGCAACGTTAATGCTTTAGGTAGTGATATCTTTACCTCTTCTATCTCTTCAAACAACGATAATGCTTTAGGCACTCTCGAGAGGCTACAATTGACCTGCGGATGCTTTTAGCCAACAGAGTCAGAATCTTATTTAGGAAGACTACATTAAAAGCAACGAAGTTTTGACAGCGGCAAGTTCCAAAACATATTCGTCATTCGAATGGAGATCCAAGATCGTGCCTAATGTTATGATTTTCAAAAGCGAAGGGTAGTGAATGCTAAGCAATACCTTACTTCCTGTTCCCAGAGGTGCTTCATTATTTTCTTTTTTACAGTCACGAATGGCGCCCAATGAAGAAAAGTAATAAGCGATAAAAAGAACGTTGTTTCATACTTTGTGCAGTTTCTGGAACTCTATAATCATGAATGGCGCCCAACGTAACCCAGATGAAGAAAATTTACAGGCAAAAAATTCATAGTAACCCACTTGCTATAGTCTATGACACTCTCCAAAATAAGATTTAAAACATAATCAGATTCAATTAAAATTCGCTGCTAGGCAACTGTGTGGCTAGTTAACGGTGGAGCTTTGTAGAAGAAAAACAGCCAAACAGAGTCACTTGAATGTCTTACCCAACATTTGGAATGAGATGAAGTTGGATAATGAGTAACGGGTCAAATAGCGCGAGGAAAAATGTTTAGACCTCATTTATACTAAAAATGGGGAGGTAATGGCGCCCAACGTGGGGTTGGGCGAATGAAATTTATAAACAATGAAAAAGAACTTAGTAACGCACTTTTTTTATAAAATGCCAAGGCACAACCAATTCTTCGTATAACATAGTCACAGGAATTTAAAAATTGGCGCCCAATATAAGTACATAATAAACGTGGGAGCTGAGCGTTCAATATTTTTTATATTATTAAAAATAAAACTAAAAAGGCTTGGTATTGTTTTTTTATAAAATCTCAAGGCACAACTGATTCCTCGTACAATATAGTCATAGAATTTTTACCGTGGCGCCTAACATAAGTCCATTAGAATCCCATATATATAAGATCGAATGTTACATATTTTGGGTACAGTCTTTGAAAAATATGATATTCAGACATAAAGGATTGTAATGGTCTGGTATTAGATGATAATAAAATAACTTTATAGGAAATCGTTGTCACAAATAGCAGATGTCCCAAAACAGATGTATCCCTTATACCCATTGACCCACCATCTCCCAACTACTGAACAATGCCACGCAGACCTTTTTTGACTCTCAAATTTAACATCCATTTATTGTTTTGATCCGCTGAAGCTTTGACAAATATTTCCGACCCTTTTGCCACAGAAAGCTTTAAAATGACTGGCCAAATGCTGTCATCATTTCCATTTGACAAAAGGGGTTGAAAAGGAAATGCTCATAAATATGAAAGAACAAAGGCTAACAAAAGCAGATGGACTTGCAAAATATTTTTTGAATTTCCCGCCAAGGCAGATGGATTTTAATTTGGTGGTGGTACATCTGCCATTTAACTTTGGCGGGCTTTTGGATTAATGAAACGACAACATTTAGCACATGTCCTAACGGAAGCGATTATGTTGAAGGCAACACAGTGGGGGAAGGTAGTAGAAAATACTAGAATTCAAAATTGAGGTGAGTTTATTTAATTTTGATAATTGGGTGAAAGAAATATTTTAGAGAAGTTAAGAGGGTATTAAGGAAACTTTAGCTGCTGAAACTAAAAAGTTATATTTAAGAAATATTCCATAGCTCTAAGGGAACTAGAGTAAAAACGAGTAGAATATCCTTTACCATGTGAAATCTTGATTCACGACCAAATTTGCAATTCTCGAAATCCCTAAAATTTGAAATATCCGTTATATGAAGGTTATACCTATATTGAATGTTTTAAAGAGAAACTAATCCATTCATTTAAATAATAGCTGTTTTGATTGAAAATTGGAATTAAAGCCTTTGAAATACTCAATATTTGGAGATACTGTTATGTGGAGATTATTATTATGAGCAGTTTTACAATTCTGTGAAAAATTTGGACCAAAATCTTTAAAATATTGAAAAGCTGTAGGTATTGGTATATGGTGCTATACCAAAAAGTGGACCATTATTGAAAAAAAAAATCAGAACGATTGTCTATCAAAATATTTCCTCTTATATTTTAAAGAAACAAAATACAGATATGTTCGAAATAATAGTCAAAAATTCTATACTTACACAGAGTTTGAAGCCGAAGAATCAATAATTTTGTGGCAGCCAAACGGAATCTTTGTAGAAAACGGCATCTTAAGTTCAAAATAATCTTGAAATTTCCAAATAACGCCGCAGTTTTAGTCCAAAGCAGTAATTTGGATACGAAACCATTTAATTTTTGTTTAGAACAGCAAGTTTTACTTAATTTTGCTTCTGCTTTCTTCCAAAGCGATATTTTCTTGAGTCGACGACCAAATAACAAGACTTTCACAGAGTTGAGGTTTTTTTGGCGATGTTCTGTATTTGTGTTGAGTGTAGCTGACAATTGAATTTGAGGATGACGTTTTACCAGTTCTATTGATTTTGTATAACGAAACACTGTTTTTTGTTGCTTTTGGTTAATAATGGTTTTAAAACTTTTTCATTCCAAACTATTTAAATTTTTAAGCCTCCCAGTGCTGGGAGGCTTTTGTTTTAACAAAAACACTTAAATTTTTATAGAGAAACTATTTTTTTGGTTGTTGTCGGAATCGTTGTGCAACTAACACTGCCATTCCATCAATTTCCAGCTGACCTTTTATAGTTGACGAAGTTTTGAAAGAATTGAAAAAAACCCACCACCAAAAAGATCTTGCCCAAATAATATCTCCACTCCACCATTTATTCTCATTGGTTCAGTCATCATTCTTTCCACTCATTCGGCCACTTTGTGTGAACAATCTACAAATTGTTGATTCACAAAAATAAGAAACGGCGCAATTTATTGTGAAAGGGTGGTGGTTGGTGGTGTGATGAAAAGTGAAAATAAGTAAATAAACATGAAGACATATTAAAAATATTGAATTTTGAATAGAACCATGTATATTGAAAAATATTTGAATAATGGCGCCCAACGTAAGACCCTCACAAGAAAATCACATCATATTGTATATAACAAGGGCAAATGTTTCAATTTTTTTCATTTTCCATCCCAAAGGAATAAAAAGCATAATACGAAAATTTTCTGATATAAAAAGACCCATTGTCACTGGCAAGTACTTCAATAACCGGCAGCATATTGATCCCATCAACATCATACACAGGATGTAAAGTAAAAACAGGATGTGATGTAAAAAATAATTCAAACAGACACTTTTTAGTTGACATTTTTGATGGGCGGTATACTGTAATTTCCATTCAATATTGAAACTAGAGGTTGTATATGTACTCTGAGAACCGAAAAATAACACTTAAATAGTAATTAAAATGTAGCCAATATAGTTCAAACCGTGTATGTGGAAAAATAATTGAATTATGGCGCCCTGCGTAAGAACCTCACAAGAAAATCATATCATTTTGTATATAACAGGGGCAAATGTTTCTTTGTTTTTGTAGGCCCAGAGAAATAAAATGCAAGCTAAACACTTAGTACCTCACTTTTCATAAAATACCAAAGTGAGCCTCAGATATTTAAACCAATGGCGCCCAACATAATATCTTCAGAAGTGTATGTTGAAAAATTTCATCAAAGTTTTTTTTTAGAACTATTTTTCTTGTCTTGTTGTTAGCCTTTCAAAGGCTGATTGAAAATCTTTGTGGGGTGCAGTATTCACTCAAAGTATTATATATTTGAAAAGTGTATTTTCATTCTAAGACCGATTGACGGACCGGTGGAAGGGTATGATGATATCTTGCAAAAAAAAACATTCAAATGGATACACAATATGCACCATGCTATACTTAAGTAAGTTGTTAAAAAAAGTTAAGTTGTCGATTTGTTTTCGAACTTTGACAGAATAGTTGTTGGTTTTTTATACCCTCCAACTTGAAAAGGGCGGTACATTGACTTTTTCATTCCGTTTGTAACAACCCTAAATATTTGTCTTATACCCCATAAAGTATATATTCATCATCAGCATAAAATTTAGGTCGAATTAACGATGTCCGTCTGTCTGTCTGTCCGTCTGCTGAAATCACGAACCAGCCCAAATTTTTTGACGTAGAGCGTTTAACTTTAGCAGAACAATTTGTATTATGTCTAGGATGGTTGGTAATGAAAATGATATATATCGGTCCACGTTTTGGTATGGTCCCCATATAACGGTATCACCCGATATTCGGTATTTTTATGATTTTTGCCACATTTTTCCACGGATTTGTGTAAAAATTGGTATTTGAAGGTCGTAATGGGTTCTCGCTCCGGTGGCAGAACATTGAATATTTAGGTCTGTGTTTTCCTATAGTTTCATAACCAACGATATTCGGTATTTTGATAATCCTAATCATATTTACCCACGAAATGTTTTCAAATTTGGCATTTAACCCTCGCAGTAGATAACAATCGTATTGGACCAAGGACGAATCCTCTTGAAATAGGTCAAAATCAGTTCAAGTTTAGGTAGAGATCCCACATATCTTCAACCGATTTCGGATTAATTGTGCACCAAATGGCCAATATCAGCCAAAATGGACTGAATTTTGGCATATCGAACCGAATTAAGTCAGAAACAAGTACATCAAATTTGGTGAAAATCGGTTCAGATATAGCTATAGCTCCCATATATAAAGGGTGAGATTAAAAAACTGCAACAAATTCAAACGGCATAATTTTTAGGTGTTTTTTTTTTTAATTTTATTGAATGAAAGCAAAAAATGTCGGAAAAAGCATCAAATTTGAGAATAAGTTTAGATTTGTTCGAATTGGTCACCTTTGGCACGAATTATGGCCTTCAAACGGCCAATGAAACCACACACGCTGCCCGAATGTCGCTCTGCGGTATTTTGGCCAATTCCCGGCGAAGAGCTTGTTTGAGGTGATCGACACTTTGGTATTTTTTAGCGTCAACCTTGCGTTCCAAATAATCCAGACACAATAGTCCAACGGATTGGTATCCGGAGATTTTGGTCGCCATTGTGAGCTGGAAATGATTTTGTAATCATTCTTGGGTGGCTCGTGCTGAGTGCAATGGTGCTGAGTCCTGTTGGAATGTCCAAGGACTGCGGACAAAAAGTTTGCGTGCCCAAGGCTTTAATACACCTTCCAGAATATTTTCGCCATAATAGCAAGTCTTTAGCTCTTTTGGGTCTATTTTCTTTCTGTTGCGGTGTAAGTTCTCGCACTTTTTGGAATTTCAATGGCTTTACCCCGAGCTCATTTTTCAATATTTTCCGAATGGAATATTGGAATATGTTCAGCTCAGGAGCCATTTTTCGGCCACTTCGAAGCGGGTTTCGATCAAGTTGCTTCTTTACTTTTCGAACCATTTCTGCTGATATTGCTGTTTTTCCCTTCCTTGACTGGTAGCGTAGCCCGACGGTAACGAGCGATATTACGAGACACAAACCATTTATTCACATTTAAATGCTGGAGTGCTCTAACGATAGCCTTGATTTGGATTTAAAGTCCCTCACATGCGTAATATGCACTCCACAACAATAATCTTTGGTAACAGATATCAGATGTAGGTCAGGTATGAGTATTTAAAATTTTATCGAGATCGAATCAGATAAATATATTGCTCCCATATATATCTTTATCCGATATCAGGTTTGCTGTACCGATATCAGGAGCAGCAAATAGCTAATATCAACCCAAGTGTACTGAATTCTGGCAATTCCGACTGAATTCATCCTTGAAAAAAGTACTTCAAATTTGGAGAAAATCGGTTCAGGTATAGCTATAGCTCCCATATATATGTTTCATCCGATTTCGTGTTAAAGTCCCTCACATGCGTAATATGCCCTCCACAACAATGATATTTGATACCGGACATCAGATACTGCTCGAAAATACCTCTGCCAAATTTTAGCAAGATCGGCTCAATATTATTTGGATTATAGTAGGTATGAACCCAATAGAAACATTTTTTTTTTTGTTGCGTGAGCACTACTAAATACACATAGTGGTGTAGGCTATCATATAGTCGGCCCTGCCCGACTTTGGACCTTTCCTTACTGGTTATCATTGCTTGAACAAATTTAACAGTTCGGCAAACTTAAATATTCATCACTCCACGAAAAGTTACCCCCTCCTCTCACCACTTCACTGAAAGCATTAAAACAATTATTAAGGGTGATTTTTATTGTCCGCCTTCGATGAAATTATGCTGGTATGTTCTGAACAAAACCAAACACGCACTTTCGCTACAGCAAGGGAATTTCGTTCGTACGAAAGGGGCTTGGGAACCAATGGTATTTTTCATGATCACTCGATGGCATACGAGCCAGCGAACATTTGCCAACAATGACGAAATACTCTCTCCCCTTCAATGAGGCACATTTGCTATGCGGTGGAAGGGGCTGTTCGTTGATAATGTTGCTGGTATTGTTAAGAAAATTTTGTCAAAGGAAAATCTCGATTCTCTCACGTTGCGCTGCGCATACATTTAGTAAAGTGACAAAGGGTGCGGAGCGGTGCGGTTAAAGCCAGAAACAACGAGCGTTTCATTGATTTTCATTTGTTTAACGATTCTATTTTTATGGAAATTCATTTCGTTGTTGTTGGTGATCCTTACTGCACTTCCGTTGAATAGAAAAAAAGTTCGGCGATTTATACGCTTATGTAAAATAAAACTACAAGAGAATGGGAAAATTGTGTTATGAAATTTTTAATGGGTTACCAGAGAAGAAGAGGGGAGCATTTGTTGTCATGGCATTGTAGAGAAAGGGAATTTTCCTTGCCGGTGGCATTGGGTTTTCTTCTGCTTTCTTTAGCAGGTTTTATTGCGTATCACATTACTCCATTCATTCTTTGGGCAAGGATTTGTTATCCTTTGAAAAAATGATAGCATCTTTGTTTCACTGTACAAAATTGTAATACAAAGAAGGATATTAAAAAAACTTTTTTCAAAGGTAGTGGTAACATTATAAAGAGTCTCTCAATCCAAGATCACTCAGCAAGTCCTTGCAATCCATAAATGTATAAGACAGCATGAAAATCTTTTAAACATAATACATGCATATCTTTATATAATACTATACTATACTATAATACTTGTTAAATAATATATTTCATTTCATAGCAATTGAAAAATACTTATAATATCTCTTAAGGAGGATATCTGAATATGTGGGAAATGTCGGTCCACTACTTCTGGTGCCTAACACCCACAATAGTTCAAAACTTCGAAAGAAAAGAAGACTCCGAGCTTTGTACTATTATTGAACACAAATATAAATTACACGAAACATACGGAAAAAAGTTCGCAAAAGGCTTCTGCCTTGTCCTGTAAGAACTTTAAATAAAGAAAGAAAACAAGGCTTAAGTTGAGTTTAGAGGCTATGCTCGGATTCATCTGAAATGTTTATCATAAGTAGGAGTTTTTAACCTGATAATGGCAAAATAATTTTTTCTTGGGGAAAATACCAGGTTATTCGACCTTGAATGCTTATGAAAATACCTATCCAAAAACCTGTCCCAAGTGGGCATATGTCCGCTACTTTCTGGGAATTTGAACATAATCCCCAATTCATCATGGGAGTTTTAACCAAAAAATAGACGATCATCGTCTTCTTACGAACTGAAATAAATTTAGAAAACTTTGGTTCGCGTTGGACAACATATAGCCGCTATTGGACATAATCAGA